GTGTGCTTGCTGGGGTTTTGGTCTCTTATACCCATTTTTTTTTTTTTTTTTTTGGTAAATCATCAATATTCTCATCAGGTCCCATTAAGTGGAACTGGGGTAATATTTAACACACTAGTTCTCCGTGTGACCCATGCAATACTATTGGTGAGTTTGGATATGGATTAATATCACATCATAAGTTTGGTATTAAAAAAAAACCCAGATTATTCACTATTTATGCCTTGAGAGACATTTCAGATTGCCAGAAAGTAAGATGACAGAAAATACCTTTTATTTTGAAAAGCCATGAAGCCAGCAGCACCTGATCACCGAGTGTAGAAAAAGCCATTTGCAGGCATCTTGGGAGTGAAAATAAATTCGGTTTCTCAGGGAAGCGTTAAATTGTTTGGGGCAGTATTTCCGCTTTCTGTTTATTTTTGACACTTGTTGCAGTTTCTTGGTTAAGCGGGGCTGCTGAATGGATTATTCTTATTTTCTTTGGATGCTGTCGCTGTCCTCACAGGTTTACCCACTCCCTGCTTCTTCTGTCCTTTTCTGGGACTGAGTCAGAGGCAGGCGGATGGCAAGATGGGAAGGCTGAGATTAAGCCATGTCTGCGTAGGGTCTTCCAGAGCAGAGTGTGGCACTTCTCAGCGGCAGCCCTTGGCGTGTGTGCAGGCAGAGGGTGGCTTGGGCCACCTTCCTGTCTTACCCACTGCGTGTGGCACAGGCCAGGGTTCAGCATGCTGCCCCTCTACCAGGTCTGACCTGTGGATGCAGGCAGGTCACTGCTCATCCTTCTCTCTCTTCCCCCAACTTTGACTAGGGCCCTGGACTTTGGGTACCTGACCCAGGACATGATTGATGACTATGAACCGGCCCTCATGTTCACCATCCCAAGGCTGGCCATTGTGTGGTAAGTGCTTCCCACCCAGGGAAGTCCTTTAGCAGAAATCCAGTATGACTGTCAAGGCTGATGGTATCAGATCCCTTCCAGGTGCCAATAAATAGAACTCATACCCCCTTGACAGGGGCTGCTCAGCCGCCCTAGCACTGTCACCAAGTGACCTGCTCTCATCCCTCAGCAGATGAAGAGCCAGGTGATCTGCACACCTCCTACTTACCTCTCTGCACTGCCGAGGGAGAGATCCCCACCCTAAATAGTGCAAGATGGCCCCACACTCATCACCCACCTCTGGAGGTGAGATTGAAGGCAGCCTGAGACACACAGAGGATGCACCCGAGAACAAAGTGACCTTGCAAGAACTCTCAGAGAGGCTTTGTAGTAACTAGAGAACAAGATGCCCTTTGTTCTTGCAAGAGGATCTGATTGGTTTGATTGGGTAGTTCTGAGGGCTGGTGGGGAGGTATGAGAACTGAGCTTTGCAGCTGCTCCTGAAACCGCCCCCTCCTGATATCCATGCCCCACCCCCAACCTGTCACACCTGCAGCTCAGGGCTGCCACTGGCTTCCTCTCCCACTCCTCATTGTCCACCTCCCATGGCAGCTGGCCTCAAGCAAAAATCCCAAAGCAAGAGTAGGAGCCAGACAGGGAGTGAGTTGTGGATTGGGGCAGGTCAGGCAGGCAGCATGTGCAAAGGGGTCTAGGCCGTGCCAGGGCTGGAGTGAGATCAGGGGTGACTCAGAGGTACTTGTGCAGAAATAATGGACCCCCCACCCCGTGCCTATATACCTAGGACCATATCCTTGCAAGATGGTGTCTCTGTGTTGTAGGTACACTGGGGCACACCTCCCAGGAGACATCTAAGAGTGCCCAGAGCACAGAGGAAGGAGGAAGCCTAGAGGACCCAGGGCTGCCCCTCCCCTTCACTCCTCTGCTCCTCAGGTGCTCCAGTCCCTTCCTGCTCTGGAAATAGTGTGGTTTGACACTTACTGAGCACTAGCTGGATGCCAGGCCCCACAGCTTTGTCTTTGCACAGCAATTGTACCCCTGAGAAGTCATTGCTGGCCCATTACAGCAAAGGCAGTGCTCAGGCCAGCAGCTCCACGTGACAGAATCACATCCAGCCCATCGATACAGAAACTACTCTTTGAAAAGAAAGCAGAAAACCAGTTCTGTGGCAGACCTGGCCTGAGGTGGAGGTGCTGGTAAACTGAGGCCTGAGAGATTGGCCAGGGTGGGGTGTCCTGGAAGGGTCCGAGCCTCAGCCCCCATGCAAGAACCTGCAGACTGGAGGTAAATGGGTTTGGCCTTAGCACTGGCCAGTGAGGACTGAAGCTGGGCATGTGCTCTCCTGGACACGCTCAGAGCTGCTGGGAAGGGTTCTACATGCCCCGTGCCCCTGGCCTGGCCCCCACTGCTGGTGGCTTTGCGTGGGACTCTCATCCTCGGGAGAGTACGAGTGCCTGGGAGCTTCATACTCTGACACACTGCTTTTACTTTTAGAGATTTATATTAATACAGTTCTTTAAAGGAATAAAGAGGCTTAATGAAGCCTCTAGAACCCGTAGTCACTTCTCAATCCCCATCTGACTCCCCCCCACCCTGGTCGCTCCCAACCTACAGGTCCTCCTTTCCTGCCTGCAGCTAAGCCCTGGCAGCTCCCCTCCGTGAGCAAGGCCTGAGGTTCCACTTAGGTAGTGGGCACTTCCCAGCCTCAACCCACTCAACCTATGCAGAGTTGAGACCCCGCCACAGATCAGACAGCTCCCTGGACATTTCCAGGACCCAGCCTGCCCCAGGGGCTCCTCGTTCTTCTGGCACAGTGGCAGCATCCTTCTCACCAGATCCCAAACCATCTGCATCCACCCTCCCAGCTTGTGTTCGAATGAGGCAGTCATGTGGCTCCTGCAGACCTTCCTGTAGCTCCCAACTGGGTTGAGTAATGGCTTTGTCCAAGGGAGTCCATGGCCAGTGACTTGCCCCGCCCACACCCTGTGAGGACCATGCCCAGGAACCCCCCTCCCCCACTTCCCTGCACAGGAGCTTCACTGGCCTCCTGGTTGTTCTGCAAATCCGCTCATCGCACTTGGCTTCTCTGCCTCTGTCTCTGCCCAGGTTCCAACCTCCCCTCACCTCCCTGAATCTCTGTCACAGTTTTTCCCTCCACTCTGCCCCCTCCCCCACCTCTGAGCCTCCCTTCCTTCTCTGGGCATATGACAGCCTCCAGTACATGGCTTACATACTCTGTTACTTGTTTATTAATGCTATTGAGCTATAATTTACTACCATATGGCTCAGGTCTGGTTTTTTTTTTTTTTTTTTTCTCTTAAGATTTTTGCTATAGGGTCTGTGAGCTTGCAAGAGAGACAGTGAGAGGGAAAGTTAGAAATCATCCCCCCAGGAGGGATGGCCACGCCTCAATCCCTTCTTCTCCATTGTCCTCCTGGGACCCTGAGCACGCACACACATGTGCCCAGCATGATTCCCAAGCCACCAGGTCTGAACCTCAAACCGTGGTTGTCCATGTGGGTGTCTAGCACCTTGACCACTACTCCACCTGCTGGCCCCACAGCTCATGTCTTTAAAGTGTACATTTCAGTGGGTGTTGGTACTTTCACAGAGTTGAGCAATGGTCACTAATTTCAGAACATTTTTGTCACCCCTTAAAGATATCCCTTACCTTGAGGCCAGCAGGTAATGTGAAGGTTAAGGCATTAGATCCTACATGACTGGCTTTGAGGTTCAAGTCCTGGACTTGGTGGCTTGAGAACCATGCCAGGCATTTGTATGTGCATGCCTAAAGTCCTGAGAGGAGAGTGGAGGAGAAGGGATTGCATGGCCATCTCCCAGGGGGTGATTTCTCACTTTCCTTTTCTTTCTGTCTCTCATGTTTTCCTCTGGTGAGCATATGTGTCCTGTAGGAAAAAGAGAAGAAAAGATACCCCTTATCTCTTTTTTATTTTTTTTATTTTTGGAAGTATTTTGATCATTTTAACTTTATTTATTTATTTATTTATTTATATATTTTAATTTGACCAGAGAGATACCCCCTTATCTCTTAGTGATCACCTCCACTCCCCTCTGATCCTTCATGCCATTTCCCACCCTTAGGGAACCACCAGTCTGTGTTATATTTCTATAGATTTGCCCATGTGGATTATTCGTATAAATGGGGTTTGTGTTATTTTTGTGTCCCCTCCACTGGATTATGGGCACCGGGAAGGCAGGGTTGCTCACTCTTTTACTCACTCATGTGCCCTTGGTGCCTGGCACGTGCTAGCACAGTGGACTTCTACAGGATGATGTGGCACTAGTCTGACAGGGCACAATGACGTACTTACAAAGGTTATCCCTGGGCCAACCAGTGACATAGTGGTTAAGGCAGCTGAATCCCACATGGTTGACTACGTGATTTGAGTCTTGGATCTAGTGGCTTGAAAAACATGCTGTGCACAGGAACATGTGTGCTCAAAGTCCTGAGAGGAGGATGAAGGAGAAGGGATTGCAGCATGGCCATCCCCCCTTGTGGGGGAGGAGGGTGATTTCTCACTCCCCACCCCCCGTTTGTCTCTGGCCCTACAGCAAACTATATATATATCTGAAGTAGTACTTGTAATCATAAAAATCCAAGGGACAATAGACATTCAGAATTAGAGACTGATTAGGAACAATAATACAGCCATTTAAATAATGTCAGGGAAAAAAATCTCTAATGCTATGCAAAAACATCCCTAGCATATGAAGTATAAAAAATTGTGACAAAAGTCACGATTTTACAAATATACATGTGTGTATAAATTCTTTTTTTTTTTTTTTTTTTTTTTAGGTTTTTGCCATAGGGCGCATGAGCTCACCAGAGAAAGGGGAAGTCAGAAATCACCCCCCAGGGGGATGGCCACGCCACAATCCCTTCTCCATGCTCCTCTTGGGATTTGGGGCATGCACACACATGCATCTAGTATGATTTTCAAGCCACTGGGTCTGGGACTCAAACTATGGCTGATCCTGTGGGAACTAGCATCTTAACCATCATACCATCTACTGGTCCTAATACAACATGTTTCTAAAACATGGTAGATAAAAATTTTATAAACAGAAATCAAATTAATAAATGTTCTTTTTAAAAATATTTGGTAAAATATGCATAACATAAATTTTTCCATTAACCAACTCTTACTGGGACAGGAAACCCTGAGGCTGAAGACGACGCTTGCCTTTGTCCTCTCAGATGCCTACTCCCCGGGGACACCGAGGAGCATCCTAGTTTCGGGTGCTTTTCTTCTTGTCCCTTCCTGGGTAGTTTGGGACGTCTCAGTGCCCTGAGTGCTGCAGCTGGACACTGGACATAGCTGACGGGATGTCTTCAGATCCCTGACTGTCCAAAGAAGGAGGTGGGCATGGCAGTCTTGGTGGTCTGTGTGCTAAGCCCTCCGATTCTTTCCTAAGGCTCTAGACCCCTTCTTAGGGGGTGGGCCTCATTCTCAACACAACAGGCTAGGAGCAAGAGGGCCCTTTCTCACTGCACTGAGAGGGTAACTGGGGCCCTCTCCTGGGCACGCTGCTGCTGCGCACAGATAGACAGTGGTCCCTGGGGTGTCTACCCTCTGGTATCCTGCAGGACTGATACCAGGTAAATTGCTGGTTTCAGGGCTGAATCCCCCGTGTAGCAGTGGGGAGAGCTCTGTGGGGTCCCTGAGAGAGGACTTCCGAAGGTGGGAATGGACTCCTTGCCTCTTTCACTGTTTTCTGGAAGATGAGATTGCCAGGCAAGGATTCACTAGCCCTTTCCCCCAACCTCCTCCCTTCTGTCTATATGGACTCTGCCTTTGTCCTGAGACCCCTGACTTACCCATAAAGCTAAGATTCTATTGTGGGAAATTGTCTCCTGAGCACTTTAGAGTTCAGCTGTCAGCTTAGAATTATTAGAACTGTCAGCTTCTGTGTAATCTGTACAACAGACCAAATGGAATGGAAGCCTGGCTGTAGCCATCCTCTGCCCTCCCCCCTGTGCTCTCCCCGTCATAGTCCAGACCAGGAGGCAGCACAGCCCACAGTTTTCCTGTGATTTTTGAACTTCCTTTCTTTTCTTTCTTTTTTTTTTTTTTTTTTTTTTTTTTACATAAAACACAATCTTTTTAAGGGAAAACCAGGCACTTGATTCAATTTCTATATCAGTTTTTCTCACTGAACTGGATGTGTTAAGCAAGAAGACTCTTAAACTAATGTGGACTCCGTGTTGGACAGTGACAGCTGGCAGTAAGACCTGTCATCCTGACAGGAAGAACCACACTGGTCCACTCCCTTGGTGCAAATAAGCTTGTAGGGCCCTCCCTCTGTGCTCTGACAGGAAGCAAGGGGACCATGCTGGGCAGTGGATGCTCTCTGGGCACCTGAGATCCGCCACGACCCGAGCTATCTGGTCCTGAGAGACCCATGTGGAGGCACCCAGGGAAAGCTTTTCTCTTCTCGAGGAGAGCCGGATCTCGACGTGACAATCGTGGCACACTCAGAACTGGGCAGGGTTGCCAGAACATGGTGCTGCCTGCAGAATCAGGGGCTGTCTGGAGGTGACATCTGAGCGGGTTGGTCTTTAGTAGGTGTCAAGCTGGATGCTGGGATGGGGACAATGAGGAAGCCAGCCCTGACTGCACAGGGCCCCAGCCCCAAGGAAGAAGTGCCTCTTGAGGCCTGGAGGCACCCTGGAGAGAGGGTCAGTCCTGCCTGGGAGCAGCGGAAGTCTGCTGCCTGTCTAGAAGGGTGTGAGAGCATTGGCTTGGTCAGACTGCTGGGAGGGAACCCATGGGCACCTCAGTTCTCACCTCTCACTTATGTTTTGCTTTTGGAGTAGATGGTTTCAGCTCTAATTCTCATAAGCCTCCACAGACAGATTTAAACACAAATCCAGTTTTTCCATTTTTAAGGAGGTAGATTTTACTAAGGAATCTTGATGCTAATTTATCTGATTGCAGCCCCGTTGGGTACAGATAGACTTTATAATTAGATTATGAGCTTTCCAATGAACATAAGCTAATCAACCCCAAAAGGTGATAAAGCAATAATTTTCATTGCTTTTTCTAAATTTGCTGAAGAGTCTGTCATAAGTGGTGAAGTGGGAGGCTGCGGGTGCACTGGGCAGTGTGGCCCAGGAGCCTGAAGTCTCCCTGCAAGTGTCTAAGCTGGGAGGTCCCAAGCTTGTCCAGGGGACCACAGGGCCTAACCACACTGGCTTTATGTCCCAATGCAGTGGCCTCGTGGTCTATGCGGATGGACCTCTGAACCTGGATCGCAAGGTAGAAGACATGTCCGAGCTGTTCCGGCCCTTTCACACGTTGCTGCGGAAAATAAGGTTGGGGGCTGGAGCGAGAGGGGGGAGGGGGGAGGGAGAGGGGAGGTTTGAGAAGGGGAGGTGCTGAAGTCCCAGTCTTCCTTCTTCCTGTGAGGATGGGCAGTTATTATTCCCCGTGGTTCCTAAACGATCCTGTGGTGGTCTCACCTGTCCCTTTTCCCCTGCCTGGTGATCTCATGGGGTCGGGGCTCTTTTGTGTTGAGCTTTAGGGACGGTAAAGCTCTCACTTCTCTTCCCTGGCTACACCAAGCTAAGATTGACCCCTTTGTTCACCAAAAGCCCTAAAGTTTACTTCCGTTTAAGCCAGTTTGCTGAGATGTTGGTCTGTCAGTTACTGATCTATGACGTCTGTGCCTACACATAGGAGCTCCTCATGTGGACCAAGTTCTTACCAGGTAGCCTCTCTGAGCGGGCAGAGCCCAGCTGTGGCCTCCTAGAGAGATGGGGCGGGGTCACATGAAGGCTGTGGCCCTTTGTCCTCTGAATGCCTCCTTAGCCCCATGGCCTTGTCCATCGAGGTGTCTCCCCTGGCCTCCAGGAAGCCCTCTTCCCTGGATGTTGGTTGAGTCAGTGACTCCATGGACTCCTACAAGGCCCATTCTGGGTCCAGCAGGATATCCCGAGGCCCTCTAGATGCCTACCCCACATGGGGCATCCTCAGGCTCAGCCAGGCTAGGACCAGATTTCCTCTGGGGACCCAGAATGTGAAGAATCCTGCCCCATGGGGAGCCAGAGGTGTTCATAGTCCAGGCAGTGAAAAGTGACCCCAGCAGGCTGTGTACATCCCCTCAGCCCTGCAGACCAGGCCATGGGCTCTAGGGCCCTTGGCAGAGTGACCAGTGGTGATTTAGTGGACTGGAGATAAGAGTGGGTGTGCTTAATCCATCCATTGCTCATATGGTATATGGTTATTGGTTGTTTCCTTCTGACCCTGAGGGGATGTGATTCCCGGCTCAAAGGCTGTGGCTCTGCCCTCCCTGGGTGACCATCTGGAAGAGGAGATAACAAGCGATGAGGAGAGGTTATGGATGACATCGAGGCCAGGGAGGAAAATGCAGGGTGCCCTGAACAGACAAAGGTCTTATGAGAGAGGCAGAGTGACCAGTGGTGATTTAGTGGACTGGAGATAAGAGTGGGTGTGCTTAATCCATCCATTGCTCATATGGTATATGGTATATGGTTATTGGTTGTTTCCTTCTGACCCTGAGGGGATGTGATTCCCGGCTCAAAGGCTGTGGCTCTGCCCTCCCTGGGTGACCATCTGGAAGAGGAGATAACAAGCGATGAGGAGAGGTTATGGATGACATCGAGGCCAGGGAGGAAAATGCAGGGTGCCCTGAACAGACAAAGGTCTTATGAGAGAGGTGTGGGCAAGGGAAGGGAGCTGTGTAGGGCAGTGTGGGGGAGGAGAAGGCCTTGGGCCAACTGTGGTGTGGGCCTCCAGGGAGTGAAGTGGAGGTCCGTGAAGACCATCCATGCTAGGCCACTACGGGTCACTGAGAGAAAGGAGCTGATAGGTGCCATTCTGCGGGCGTACGGGGAAGTGAGGACAGAAGGCAACAGAAGGCTCAGTGTTGGGAACAACCCTTGTAGTGACGAGCAGGTGAGAACCTTTCCCATTAAGGGTGAACAATCTAAAATCACCAGACCCTGTTAATTATCATTCTCAAGGTTGTATCCCTGAAAGCTAGTGAGGATGGACTAAGACTGCAGTCACTTGGATGGGGTGGCTAGACCCAGGTGTGCAGCCCCAGTTCAGCACTGCCTGCCACCCAGTGAAATCACTTCTTGTGCTCCCCACACATGGACAAATGAGAATGTGAAGAATCCTGGGAGTGTGAGGACTTACCCATCATCTTGTTGACCACTGTAGTTCAGCAATTACAGGGCTTCAAAAATTACAGCCTTCATCTCAGGCTCATCTGCCATCCCAAAAAAGAAAAATCAGAAAGGGATCTAAATAAAGAGTAGTTAAGAATGAACCTGGGGGGTTCCAACAGGCGGCATGGTGGTTGAAGCACTGGACTCCCACATGGGAGTCCCAGACATGGAGGCTTGCTTCCTCACTTTCCTTCTCTCTCTCTCTTTCTATCTCTGTCTCTCTCTGGTGAGTGCATGTGCCCTATAACAAATTTTAAATAATAATAATAAAATTAAATAAGTAATTCTTTAAAAAAATAAAATGAACTTGGGGCTAGCCCCATAGTCTAATAGTTAAGGGAGCCAGATCCCATATGACCAACTGATCAAATCCCAGCCCTGGAAGCCTGAAAAGTATGCCAGGCATGGGGCCAGCAGAGGACGTAATGGTTATGTCATTGGATTCCCACATGGCTGACTGAGGTTCAAGTCCTGGACTTGGTGGCTTGAAAATCATGCCATGCATGTGTGCATGCCTGCCTAAAATCCCAAGAGGAGAAGGGAGGAGAGGGGACTGTGGCACGGCCATCGTCCTGGGGGGTGATTTCTTGCTTTCTTTCTCTCTGTCTCTCTGGTGAGCTAATGCATCCTATAGCAAAAATCTCTCTTAAAAAAAAAAAAAAAAGACAGAAAAAGAAGGACCAGCAGATATCATAATAGTTACATCACTGGTCTCCCACATACTGGACTGTGGTTCAAATCCCAGATCTGACAGCTTAAACTTAGTTGAGCACATGTGCATGCATGCTGAAAATCCTGAGAGGAAAATGGAGGAGAAGGGATTGTAGTGTGACCATCCCTCTGAAAGGTGATTTCTCACTTTCTGTCTCTCTGTCTCTCCAGCGAGCGCATATAGCCTGTAGCAAAAATCTCTTTAAAAAGAAAAAAAAAATTATTGGGCTTATATGCATGCATGCCCTAAATCCTGACAGGATGGAGAAATGGGGGAGAAGAAATTGTGGCATGACCATGCCCCACTGAGGGTGTGCTTCTCCTTATCGCTCTGTCTCTGGGGAGCACACACACGCAAGGCTGACCCACATTGTAGGTTCCAGGTTTGCACCCAAGGACCTCTCAGAGAAGGTCTCCAATGTGCTGTGTACGTGTGTGCTTACGAGCCATCTGGGGCTGGGCGAGGGCAGAGATGCTGTTTCTCTCTCTCTCTCTTTCACTCATGGAGGAAGTAAATAAATACTTAAAAAATCTTTTTGAAGAAATGAACTTGGAGTCAGTTGTAAAATATGATGAATAAGATGCGATTTTATCACTGGATATTTTAATAAATGAGCACTATTGAATATAGGCAGATGTGACTAGGCCTCTTGATGTGTTTTTAAATAATGCAGTCCAGACCCAACCATGGTCACACATGCTGGTTGAAGTTGCACTTGGCAGACTGAGTTCACATGGGAGGCTCAAGTTCAATTCCTGGCACACCCTAAAAGCTAGGCAAGCTCGCATGTGCCTGTAATCCTACTTATTCAAGAGGCTAAGTCAGGAGGATCCCTCACGTGCTGCCAGTGTAGACAGCACAGTGAAACCCCGTGGGAACAGCCGGCTATGGTGGCAGTGCTCGAAGTTCCAGAAACTTGGGAAGCTGAAGCTGGAGGATCACAACATAGACCTATCTTAACAATAACAATAAAAAATTTCAGGCAAGACTTCTGCTTTGGGACACACGGGAAGCCTCAGGTGGTGGCAGGCCAGTTCTCCAGCCACAACTAGAAAAAAACAATTAAATCTGAAAAATCGTGTTTAAAATTTTTTTTTAGAGAGTTTTTTTGTCATAGGGTGCATGTGCTCTCCAGAGAGACAGAGACAGAAAGACAGAAAACAAGAAATCACCCCCCAGAGGGGATGACCATGCCACAAGCCCTTCTCCTCTCGTCTCCTCCTGGGATTTTGGGCACGCAGGCACACACGCCTGGTGTGAGTTTTAAACCACTCTTGACTACGTGGGAGTCCAGCGACATAACCTTTACGCCATCTGCTGGTTCTGGAAGGTCATATTTTTAAAGGTAATGAAACTGTGGAAATGAGGATTGGATGAAACAAAATTTCGGAGAGGGAAACGCCTTTCAGAGATGGGTCGGTAGTCTCTGACCATTCTTTCCCCAGCAGCGTTTGATGATCCCAGGTGTTGAGGCTTGTCTAAGGACTCAGGCTTCTTAGGCAGAGTCTGCGCTGGGGGAAGACGATCTAACTGGATGAGGCTGGCAGAGCTCATAGAGCATCTAGCAGAAAGTTCGTGATGGCAAGGGGAGGTTTGCACTTTGAGGGTTCTTAAAAGACAAAAGCATGACTTAAGCACACTACTAGTTTGCCCTAGAGATGTCTGCCAGATTTTTTTTTTTTTTGAAGAGGTTTTCGCTATAGGCGTGTGCGCTCGCCAGACACACAGAGACAGAAAGCGAGAAATCACCTCCCAGGGGGGATGACCACGCCGCAATCCCTTCTCCTCCATTCTCCTCTCGGGATCTTGGGCATGCACACATGCGCGCCTGGTGTGAGTTTAAGCCACCGAGTCCGGGACTCAAACCGCGGTCGACTATGTGGGAGTCCAATGACATAGCCATTACGCTAACTGCTGGTCCCAAGATGTTTGCCAGATTTTGAAGCTGCTTAGAGCGGGAGACTGCAAGTTGAACTGGAATTTTAAAAAGGCAAATCTGGGTCTCCAGCAAACAGGAGTCTGGGAAGACAGAGACCTTCCAGCCTTAGACCAGTAGTAATCAGACTGCCGCCTAGCCCCAGCCTGCTCAAATTCTGAGTGGAACGTGATCATTAGTCCTCACCATCTGCCTAACAGAGGAAAGGGGAAATCCCCTCTGGTGGAAGCATCATCTGTAACCTCTGTGTCTTTCATATAATCCAAACTTGCTAAAAATGTAAAGAGGTAAGAAAATATAATTGCTGGTCAAGAGAAGAGCCAGAAATTTTTTTTTTGAGAGAGTTTTTTTTTGCTGCAGGGCACTTGCACTCGCCAGAAAGACAAAGGCAGAGAGACAGAAAGCAAGAAATCCCCCCCCCCCGGGGCGGGGTGGGGGGGGACGCTGCAATCCCTTCTCCTCCATTCTCCT